GCAAGTCACAAGAGATGCTTAACTACCGGGAACAAACTGAGGGTTGCTGGAGGGGACGTGGGGGGGATGGGGTAACTGTGTGATGGGCATTAAAGAGGGCACTTGATGTAATGAGCATTGGGTGTTATAGGCAACTGATCAATCACTAAATACTACCTCTGAAACTAATAATAAACTGTATGTTAACTAACTTCAATTTAAATAAAATCTAAAAAAAGAAAAAAAGTCATCTGATCAAGTCAACTCATTTCGATATTTGGGAGTATCTTTTGAACCCACCCATTCTAAAGAGCCTTCAAGAAAGCAATCTCAACAAAGGTAATTCTGTAAGAATGCAATGATGCTGAGAGGCAACCTAAAATTTTTCAGGTCCCATGGTATGAAACTCTATAATCTCCAATGAACAGTTGTCCAAATGTTGAGCAAATTCAAAGCTTTGAGTTGTTATTTATTTTTGCTTGTAGTATTATTTAGTGTATTCAGAAGCCCTCTGGCATCCAAACTCCAAATACTAGATGAAAGAACTATTTGGAGAGAAGATATACCAGGATACCACATCTTCACATAGAATGTCTACGCATATCTGGTGTCTGAAGTTTAATAGTCTCTTCAATCAGTAATTAATTGTATCTCAACAAGTCTTTATTCAATTCTTACTATGTTGACTGCAATTCCACAGGCATGGTGGGAGAAATAAATAAAAGAAATAGTTCCTACTGTCAAGGAGTTTACAGTCTAGCAGAATTAACTTCAAATAATTATTATACTGAGAGAAATATGAAAACATCAATTCCCAGTTACATGATTGAGTCATTTTGGATCTGATTTAGATGAAAATTTGAGGCCAGTACCATAATGGGATGGCACTTTGGCATCATGGGAGGAGGTGGAATATTGTGCACATGGTGAATTGTATGTGAATTGTAGTGGCCAGTGGATAAACTGTGGTAGACCGTCTCCAAAGATGACTGCCATCATTCCCTTCAAGTAATGGAGAATAATTCCCTCCCCCTGAATCTTGGCTGACGCTAGTGACTTGCTTCACTAAGAATGTAGTGGAAAGGACCTTCTAGGAGTTCTGAGGCTAGGTCCTAGAAGCCTTGCTGCTTCCACCCAGGTGTCTTTCTTGCGTTCCGCTATGGGTAGATTCCTGTGACAACTACATGCAATAAATTAGGGGCAGAGAGAAACTGAAGACAGAAGAGCAGGAAGTCATTGCAGTAGTTCAAGTAAAACATTTTTTAAAAAAAATCATAATAGAGGCCTTAAAACCAGAAAGTAATAGGAAGACAGGAGACGAAGAATGTCAGAGGTGAGCAGAGGGGAAAATCCAAAACACTTTCCAGCTGATGAAACTTAAAAGAACAAGAAAAGGTAGAAGTCAAAGTGGGTTCTAGAGGCTAGAAAATTTATGACTTGTTCAGGGTGTCCTAACACTTAACTCTTAATTGTACCTGCTTTCCATATAAAGACTATTTTTCAGCACCTAGACAACCAAAAAGAGAATGATGCTATGAATAAAGATTAGGATCCAAAAAGAAAGCACACATGGAGAAAACAAGAGGAAATTAAATTAGAGGTGCTGGGCAGCCATCCAGGAAGAACCATTACAACAAGCACATGACAATGGAGGTACTGAGTGCCTTTTCTGGAACTGAGTACTTTTAATATCTGTTTGATACTCTAAAGTCACCCAAGCCCCCAAAACAAGGACTTCTTTTGTGTCTCCACATGGCTGGTGGTTTCATTTGAAGTTAATCCCTTCTTTTTTCTGGCCAAAAATCCCTTACCAATAAACGCCTTGTTAAACATTAAAAGCACTTAATGGTAAATTTGTAATGGGTTTGAATAAATTGCTCTCAAACTAAAAGTTTTCTACTTGAAAAATTAAATTTTCAGATTTACAGAAGTTTCAGATTTTAGTTGTATACTCCGTGGCATTTCAAATTATCCACATTAAAAAAAAAAAGTTCCTTCACACGTTGTCAAAACACATGATTTGGCGTCCTGGGCTGCGGTGATATTTGCTTCCATCCTGCCTCAAGTACTAAACACTGAAAGAAGACTGAAATCCCTGCCTGTCCTAGGAGTTTACCTTCCATCCTCTATGTCCTCCACGTCCCTAATCCTGTAAATCTTTGTACTACAGTTTTTTTTTTTTTACAATTGGGCCTTGGAGGAAAAGAAACACCTCGGTACATTAAAGGATTATTTAAGGCTAGAAAATTTATGACTTGTTCAGGGTGCCCTAACTTTTAACTCTCAATTATACCTTCTTTCCACATAAAGACTATGAATGCATATACTATAGAGCTTACCCAACCTTGTGAACTCAATCAGGCTCACAGATATGTACCACATCCCCATGAGCAGATTAGCCACTCCTTTTTAAAGACTCCCAAACTAACTTATGTTAGGTTATAGCTATAACTAATGTTGCCAAACAGCATGATCAAATTCATTTACATGTATTATTGAAATTGTGTGAGTTAGGGGCGCCTGGCTGGCTCAGTCATTAAGTGTCCGCCTTTGGCTTGGGTCGTGATCCCAGGGTCCTGGGATCGAGCCCCACATCGGGCTCCCTGCTCAGCGGGAGGCCTGCTTCTCCCTCTCCCACTCTCTCTGCTTGTGTTCCCTGTCTTGCTGTGTCTCTCTCTGTCAAATAAATAAAAACTTAAAAAAAAATAGCTATGAAATTGTGTGAGTTAGATCAGTATTTCTCAGACTTTTCACATAACTCCTTAAAGACTCTTTAGACATTTTTTGTTAATCATCCCCCCATACAATTTTAATACACTTAAAAGTATATCTGTTATTGTACTATTGAGTACTATTTTTATGCTTTATATATTTAAAAAAATACTTTTTTTCAAACTCCCCAAGAACCAATTTTTACCCTCCTAAGGAGGATGTCTCTCTCACGGAGAATACATGTTTTATTTAGATTAATAAATTGTTGCTCAAACAAGAATTATTCTTATCGCCAAAATAATGCTAAGCCTTAGATCATTATAATAGGGACTCATGAAGAACATGAGAAAGACTCATGACCATACTCCTGAAACTTTCAACTTCAAGACTGAGAAGTGCAATGATATCACTTTCAGTATCTGCTAAATAAAACTATGAAATTCTTCCATTTTAAAGGCCACTGTCATTCCTCCATTCTTCTCTGATTTTGTTGAGAGATCAGCTCAGATTATTTGTGGCTAACAAGTAAAATATAGATTTTAAAACCAGAAGTATAAGTAGTTCTATTCATGAGGTCCTCAAGTACAAAACAGATAATAAAGATACAAATAAGAACTTGACAATCCTAAGTACTCCCAATTCACCTAACTACAGAAACAGTAGTAGCACTGACATTTGGTAGAAAAGAACTGTGAAGGAGTAATATTAAGATGAAGAACACTATTTAAATACAAACTGTTTAAAAGGAAATATCAGAAAGCAATCATTTTACTAATAGTCCCAAAAATGCTATTTACGTTGATGTATAATTAAAACTCCTCAATATTAAAGCTCAAAATATATTTCTTCTTAGTTAATACACCTGGATCTCCTTTCTTCCTCCAGCATAAGTAGAGCTAAAATACCACTTACTCCTGGCTAAAGCAAGGACAATAGAGGAAGAAGAAAAGCCATAGGGTTTGTAACCCATTAGGGCTCCATCCCACCCACCCTACCATTCACCCAGAGGAAGACTAATGGGGTGGGGAAGGGGCATAAATTATTTATAGCAAGCATAAGGCATTCTTACAGTCAGCAGAAACAAAGATCTTCCCCCACCAAAATAGAAAAAGGGGGATTATGCCTAATACCAGAGTTTATTAGGGGCAAAATATTTAAGGAACAGCCACACAACCTCAACTACACCAAAATATTACATATTTTAAGACAAAGAAAACATTTTGTAATGGGAGTATCATTACTCTCTTATGACTTGGCAACCTGAAAGCTGTTAAGCCTGCAACAGGACTTCAAAGTTGAGACTTAAACTGTCTTTTCCAGTGAATCCCTTCTTTTTCTGGCCAAAAGAAAGAAATGTAGGATTTCTTTACCATTACTTTAGTGATACTTTAGTGTTACTAAAAAATACCTGTCTTCTTGTTCTAAGGTATGAGCTGTATACATTTTTAAGTCTCTACTTCCTGAAGAGATTTAGCAAACTAAGGCTTTATTTTCTGAGTAACCAAAATGTCAATTTTATTAGCAATTGTAAATTTTCTGTAATACTTTGATTCCATTTATTTTAAAATAATTCTAATAAAGAATACCTAAAATCATGAATTATCCTTTACAATTATTTTTTTATCCTACAATTTGTACATACTAAATTTCTCAATTTAGATAGCAAAAAGTTATATTATATAAGAATATAGTGTGTATCTGGGGATAGTGGGTACTGACCTAGTGATATTTGGTCATTTAAAACAGAAGACTTGGTTAAATGATTACCAATAAAAACACAAAACATTTCTTTATAAATCAGAGGCAGCCACCAATTAATCGCCCCATTTTCAGGTCAACTGAACACCCTTCCCATTTGCCTTAACATAAATCCACAATGCCAAAATGAGACAGTCTGGCCAGCACAATGACAGTTATCTAGTAAGCAATTTATAGTAGGAACTTTTCATAATTAAGTTTCTTCCTTCATTTTAAAAATGGGATCAGGGATCAATGAAAAGATAAGTTAACAAAGGGTTAAGAAAAAACATAATCATAAATCATATTTATGATCCCATACCAAATATCTGTAAAAAAATAGTTGTAATTGTTCATTCAGCAATTAATGTATCAAACACTGTGTTAACTATTAACATTGAACATGACAGTCATGGGAGAAAAATCCATTTCTTCAAAAAATTTTTTTAAATTAATAAATTTATTAAACAAAATACTGCCTCAAAGTATATCCTGGCTAGGGAAAAGAAACATGAAAAGCAAAAAAGTCAAGTCAGAACAGTAGCAAAGTGTATGAGAAATTATGTATTTACCTTGGCTCTGCACTCAGTGTTATTACAGTTTTTTGTGGTAGAGAACCGTGTGAGTTTTGTTTCAAATCCTGTAAAAATAAACAAAAATTTTTTATTTTACTTTTAAAACTTAAGTTTCAAAACTAGCTATGTAATAGTACTTACAAAAATCCTAAAAAGGACACAATGGTGTCCTCCTTCTAGCTACATAAAGGTCCATCAAAGTTCAAAATAAGTAATTCTTGTGTGTGTGCATTTTTATGGGTGTGTCTTTAGACTTCAGTACGGCATGTGTTACACGGACTACTAGAGTCCAATTAGGAACCAAGTAAATCAAAGTTCTAAAGATCATTTTGCAAAAAGTTTCACTATTTTACCTTTGTATCACAGGTTTCATATCCTTAAGCAATGTATGTCCATTTATTGGATTTTTTACTTCAACATGAAAATATGTAACCATAATTTGATTGCAAACATCAGTATATGAAAATACTGAACTTACTATCTCTGATTCCAGATGTGTAAGTTCCAATTACATGTAAAATTTCAAAGCCTATGGCTCACAATAGACTCTAATGATAAAATATTACAGTTTTAAAACATCTGAGTTGCCAAATCGAAGTCTAAAGAGGTTTGCAATCCCCCATTTTTTCCCACTGTTCTTCCTTGCTGCTGAAGAGTATATTCTTCCTCTCAGAGTATGTTCTGTTTTATTGGCTCCCCTGATCCTAACCACGATACAAGCCAAGGCAGGAATCATCCCATCTAACAGATAAATGAATGAGGGCTCACAGATGTTAAGCAACTTTTTCAGGCCCATGCAATCAGGTACAGAGGTGGGGCTAATAGCTAGTCTTTAATTCCTCAACTGCTCCTCTGCTGTTACACACATCTGAGCACTGCTCACAGTGCTCCATGGGCTCATCCTGAAACCAGAAGACAATTCAGGGGCTTCTAATTAAAGCCAAGCAAAATAACTAATTACAGCGTCTAGTTACCTTACAGTATCATATTAATAGTGTTCTCAAAGCTGTATGTTCCACATAATGAAGTTCATTAGTTTTCATGCTTAGATTTAGTCAGAACAAAATATACACCATAAATCAAATACAGACACACTTACAGGAAAGAAGAACACATAGGTATTTCATATAAAATGATACAAATTCTTTCAAATCATGTATAAGGAAATCACTATTTTTCAAGGTTTCTTTTCACTCAGCTTCTCACCCCCTTTTCTGAACCAAGAACAAAAGAATCACACATTTTTATGATAATATAAAAGGTAGCAACTAACCATGTCTAGGAGGTTATCAAAAGAGTAAGAGTTGTACGAGTTTTTGTCCTTCAAAATAAGAAGTAGTGCAGAATATCCAATTATCTTCTTCAAATTCGTTAATGAATGAAAGAGTCTGTGAACCAAAAATTTTTACTGGTCTGAGAAGCAATTCAAACATCAGTATACAATATTTTCAGTTTCTTTAATAATGGCCAAACCACCATCATCCTGTATTCACAAAGTGAAACCTATAATGAAGCTATAATGAACGGACTCTTCTTTGCCCAGAACTAAGTACTTAGGAAAAAAAAGTTAGTCAAAAGATTTCACTAATAAGGATTCATTTAAAATAGAAAACTTTCTGTATACACCTGAAACGTGTAAGCTTAATCAAACTACCGATACTTTCTACAAGTATCATGCCAAATACTAAGAATATTCAACATGATCACTCCAATAGCTTTAAGGCTTTGTTACCAAAAAAGTGATTTGGTCCTTTACTTTAGAAAATTCTTTAACAAATGTTGAAACAGCAAAAGAAAGCATGAGATTAACTGTCACTCACAAGAATATTCGTTCAGTATACATACTTCAAAAAACTCAAATTCCTGAAAACTTCAAATAAATATTTTGCTGACTTTAGTTTCATGTTCTTGTTCAAAAAAAGAGAAAGTTTTCACAGGTCTGGATAATGAAATTGTCTTTCTCCTTGTTACTTTTCTTGGTCATTAAAATTGTTAATTGTATTCCAATTGTACTTTTATGTCTGAGGAACCAAAGAGATGCGTATGAATCAACCTACTCAAGATCAATTCTGGAATATAATCTTGGTACAGTATCAACTATTGCTGAAGCACTACACGTGGGAAAAGAATTTGAAGGTTTTTTTTTTCAAGTTCCATCTTGTTTCTTTAAAGCTTTATAGAACAGGTAACCCTAAGTAAAGCCACTGAAGAAATCTGTCGAAAAACTTGGCTAAACATGCTTTCAATCAGCCATTGAATCTATTATGTTTATAGAGTGATTATATTATTTTCCCCAATACAGGACGCAATTTTGGACCTACATGTTAAGAACATTTTTGTTGGCATGCAACGACAAAAAAATGTTTAAGAGAATTAAAAATAACTTCTTTTTGCAGAGCACTGAGATTACTTTCAAAGATGTAAGTGATCACAATCAGTAAGTTAATTAACTATGCAAATGTGTTATACATACATAGTGTTAAAGTCTTCTGCATGTGAGTTCAGGCCATCATCCAGCTAAGTTTCTTAGTCTATTCAAATGTTTTCCTAGGTGATAACAAGTGTTTTCACCAGACTAAAAGACAATATGAGTGACTACAATTCAGTTATAGGAACAAGCCCCTCGATTTAAGTTTATTTTTATCTATATGGCAATCTTTATTAGGCTGTCAGAACCTGAAGAATAAAAGTCATGTTCTACTCCCCCTGCTTGTGTTCCCTCTCTCACTGTCTCTCTCTCTGTGAAATAAATCTTTAAAAAAAAAAAAAAAGAAGGGGCGCCTGGGTGGCTCAGTCGTTAAGCGTCTGCCTTCGGCTCAGGTCATGATCCCAGGGTCCTGGGATCGAGCCCCACATCAGGCTCCCTGCTCAGCGGGAAGCCTGCTTCTCCCTCTCCCACTCCCCCTGCTTGTGTTCCCTCTCTCACTGTCTCTTTCTCTGTGAAATAAATAAATAAAATCTTAAAAAAAAAAAAAAGTCATGTTCTCCATCAGCTAAAACCTTGTATGTATTACAGTGCACTGGAGCTTAAACTGAGGGAATGCCACACATCAATGTTTGTATCCTAAAGGCACATGCACAGTCTTCTAACGAGGTAAGCACTAAGAACTGGTAGTGCATTCCCCAAATGCTTTCTCAGGATGCATAAAGCCATTCTGTTTAAAGCAAAACAAGACTAAACACAGTAAATAAGTTTGGGAAACATTGGGTAAAGCAAAATTTTAATGTTTCAACAATTCATCATTGTGGGATTTCCCAGAGCCTCTAATTTTCTAACATGCCCGTATTTTATTATCACTGAACCGGACCATCACTTAGAAATCACAGTTTTCTACTCTGGTATCATTACTACTGTTTCAGGCAGATACTATCATGTTTGTCAGTGAAGTTTGATCTATACATATGGGCCCTCATACTTACCCTTTGTTCATTTTTTTCTCCTACCTACCTTAACTACAACATAGAAATAGGCAGAATTCTAAATATTTCTGTAACTGATCTCATTACCATTTCTTCTCTTGCACATAGCCCCATTATCCACTTTTAGGCTGAACATCCATCACAAACACTGTCCCCCTCTAATTCATTTTTTCATGCCATGATTAGAATTAACCTTCAAATAGCCATGATGTATTCTTGTTCTCCAGGTGATAATTATATAAACATTCAATCTACTGTTGAGAGCAGTACTCTAAGTAAGAATCACCTTTAGATGGCAGAAGAGAAAGCTAGAAGGGTCTGGACCCCTGTCGGCACTGTAGAGCTGCTATACCTGAACTGGGGACCTGCAGACTTCTTCCACGTGGCATAAAAATAAGTAGGATAGGATTTATTCAGTTTTAAGTTGTTATTACTAGCAGCCAAATGCAATCCTTAACTCATACACTTGTTCACAGGGACACTTCTGCCAACATTTGAATAAACAGTCAACAGTCTAAGAACAAGAGAGCACCCAATGCTAGCTGCCTCTTTGTTTATAACTCTCTAACTTGTGTTTTGAAATTTCCTACTTAAAATGTCTATGCTAATGACTTGATAATTGTGTATGACTTCTCAATGAAGTGTGAAGTGCTCGCAAAGCAAATTTACAAATGTCAAGTATAATTTGAGAATTATTGTCTTTTTTCTCTAAGATGCAATTTTGTATGGTGATGTTTTTATAAGCTAAAAGCATAACCAAACATATGGAGGAACTAATGACAGCCCTTCTGGAAAGGTTATGAGATAGAAAATGTTCAGTTGCAAAAACTCAATGACCTGTACCCAAGTCTCTTTCAATATGGCAGCCAGAGAGAGAGCAGGTAGACAGTATAGGAGAATGACTTCTTCATTTCCTCTTAGGAACTCTTTTCTGAATATAAGCCTCACTTTTAAATTCAATAAACCAAGAAGACAGGAGCAGGTGAAAAGGAAAAAAATGGAGGATCTGACCTTATTTTAAAAAATGCCTTCTGTGGGAGAAAAACCAATTATCATTATCAGCCAATGAATGTTTTCCATTTTAAGCCCAGCTCAACCTCAACAGATGCCAAATACATTTGCCACAAGAAAACTGAGAAGATATTCAAGATGCTACCATGAATATATTTTCAAGGATTCAAGTCAACTAATGAAACCTCAAGAATTTGTTTTTCAAATATCTAGAAAGGCAGTCAAAATACTATAACTAAAATTTTAATTAACACTTATAATGATTAGTGATATCAGTTGTGGATCAATCTGTAATGTTGACTTTATATGTTGTATACACTTTTAACATATGGGAGAGAGCATTTATTAAAAAAAGAGGTTCACTTCTTAAATCTGTATTATAAGAAAATCAGAGCACACTTTAACAATTTTAAAATATTATTGAAGTACACCATTTTTGATAGGAAAAAAATCTGGAAGAAATAATAACTAAGCCATAATGAAATAATAGTCAAAACTCCTTCCCCAACATAGGAATCTCCTCTACAATGATCCTAATGAATGGTTACCCAAACTAGAGCATGATGATGGAAATCTCACTATCACAAAAGGTAAGCCTTTTGATTATTGGGAAGCACTATTTACAAAGTCTCCTGCTGTTCTGAGCTAAAGCCTGTACTCACTGTTTCCAATCCTGCAATGTGAAAATAACTGAGCTTCCCCTTCCTCACTCATCTCACAGACCTTCTAAGAGTTGAAGATGGTTTTGATATCAATACCCAAGCCAACCCTTCTCATCCCAATTCCTTATATCATCTATATATATCAAAGTTTCTAGGTTCTTCTACTTCCTGGCTAAACTCTAGGCTGAGAACAACTGGATATGAAATAGGATGAAATTAAACTGCTATACAATCAAGTATGGCTCTTTATCTCCTTGGATTATAGCTATGATTTATTTGATACCAAATCCCTGATCAACAAGGTAACCCCAATTACCACATTATACTTGGGAGAAAACAGAATCAGCTTTATAATAATGTTTTACTACTCCATTTGCAGAAATGCACTGCAATAAAAAGTTAGGACAGCTAGTACATTCTCAATACAATTCTTGAAAAATGCTTTGAATATTGATGTTGTTTTTCTATAGCAATACTTATAAGGGATGTCATTATTGATATGGTCTGATGTACATTAACAATTTCATCAAAGATATAAGCCTGTGACCCAAAATTAAAAAAAATTGTTTTATAATCACTTTTTAATAATTATATTACCTGGTACCATAATCCACAACCACCCAATCTTTTGCAGTTCCTGTGATAGCATCATGATGTTGAAACAGTCCCAAATTTCTTCTGGCTTCTGTCAGTGCCATGTAATGGGATGATGAAAGAAATTTACTTATCTTGTATTTCTGAGCTTGTTTCAGGGCGAAATAGTAAAGAATTTCAGCAGCCCTAATTGTATAAAACAGTCATTAATTCTTATTTCAAAACAAACATTTACTATTTAAAATATGTGGTACTGATACAATTTTTAAATGCATTTTTTAAAAAATCCACATTTCAGCACAATTGATAAAAAAGATATTGATAATAAACATTCCTATAAAACCATCTAGGTATCCATCTAATATATCTAGATTATCAATCATCAGAGAACATCATGTCTAAATTGATATAAAGGACGCTTGTTCTAGATGGTCCTGGAAAGAAGCCAGTACCCACTGGCAGCGAGATAGGTGTACTTCTGTATAACATAGTGAAAAAAAAAAAAAAAAAGCTCGAAACAGCAGTAAAAAGTGGATAATGGTTGCTGCCCTTTCTTCTCTCCAAGATCAGCCCAGACACATACCAGGAACTTCATCACCAGAAAGCCATTCACTCTCACATACATACATTAAAGGAGAGACGGTGCAGAAATGGTCACATGAGTGGGAGACTAACAGTGAAGGAGAGGCAGAAAGCAATGGCCTGACAGCTCAGTGACAACAGCTAGTCTCTGCGCTGAATGAGAACATTCAACAACTAGAGGGAAAGTAACATTATAAACTGAAAGGTGATAAAACATATGCTGTCGCTTCTCGTTTATTTTAAAGAAAAAACACTTGGGCTTACGAGTAGTTTTTGAGCAAGAATATGGGGACTTATCATTTTCATGCTTTATTTTTTTCATCAGAGGATATGGTTCAAGACAGGTTTCGAAAAAGTTCTTTAAAAAAGAGATATGGCTTGGGGTGCCTGGGTGGCTCAGGCGTTAAGCTTCTGCCCTCAGCTGAGGTCATGGTCCCAGGATCCTGGGATCGAGCCCCACATGGGGCTCCCTGCTCCGCGGGGAGTCTGCTTCTCCCTCTCCCACTCCCCCTGCTGCGTCCCCTCTCTCTCTGTGTCTCTCTCTGTCAAATAAATAAATAAAATCTTTAAAAATAAATAAATAAAATCTTAAAAAAAAAAAGAGAGAGATGGCTTGATGAAGTAAAAAGTTTAAGAAGGTTCTTTATGCCAAACATATTAAGAAGGATGGAGAGAAAACCAAGGCAGCTTGAAAATGTATCACAATATAAGGAAAAGGATAAATTTAAAGTACTCAAAAAAAAAAAAAGAATTGTTTTAAATTTTGAAATAATTAGAAGATACTAAATAATCTCTGCCTTTAAATTCTAATCTTTCTAAAATTCATGGCAGGAGAAACACTAAGTTTGAATTAAAGAAATTGTGTATATATGTTCATCTATACCCATAGCACATATTCCTGGCTTTGCAAAGAGTACCTATACATATAGATATCCCAAAATGTAAAAAGGGGGTTTAAAAAATATTTTCTTCTTTATACTCTTCTATCCTATCCAAATGTTTTACAAATGAGCATCAAGATGAAATATCTATAATCAGACAATAAACTTATTTTCAAGTAAGTTGATTACATTTTGAAATTTGTCATTATTATATGGTTTTTGTCATTTTATTTTAAAGCAGAATTTTCAAAATATATTATTACTCACACTAAGTACTTCACCTTAAATATGTTCAATAAATTAAAATTGAATCAATATTTGTAACTCTTTGTCACTAAAAAATAGTTGACACTTTTAAAAAAGTGCAGTAGTCCAAAAGAATCTCTACATTACTTAGTACTTTCTCTGTTTTTATCATAGGTAGTTTAGAGTAACATAATAGAGAATTAATATTCTATTGGGCAAGAATGCATCAATCTCTCTAATATAGAAATACTATTTTATTACAAATACAGGAATATGTATCCATCTGGCACATTTGTGAATATCCCCAAAAAAGGCAAAGATCAGGCTTTTGAAATAATGCTGACAGCATGAAACAGTAAAAATAAAAAAAAAACACACTACTATACCAAAGTACAACTCTGGGAGAAATTCATGATCTTTATAAAAGGGCTTTCCAAAATGTACTATCTCTACCAGTACGGAGAAGAAGGTAGATATAACATGACTTTTTATTTTTAATACTGAGATTCATCATGAAAATTAATCATCATGAATTCATGATCTGAACTAAGCTGAAAGTGAACTCATCATGAAAATGAATTAAGCTCCCACGCTACGCACACATAGAGAGAGCCCCAGGAGCCCCCAGGGTGGTTCATCCTTACCAAAAAGCAACAGGACCCACAAAGATAGCTACTAGCCACGTGTGATTATTTATTTACATTTAAATCAACTCAAATTAAAGGAAATTAAGAGTTCACTTCCTCAGCCACACTGGTCACATTTCAAGTGCTCAACAGTTACATGTGGCAAGTGGCCATACTAAACAGTGCAGAAAACAGAAACAGAAGATTTCTACCACTGCAGAAAGTTCTGTTGGACAGTGACTGAAAGTTCTACTGGACAACGCTGGTTAGAGCGTTTTTGTTTTCTCCTGACTTTTCTGCTTTCTCCCTGTCACTATGCTTTTTCAGCCAATCACTCTGCCGCCATCAGTTCTCATCTCTTTCAAGTTTTGCTCTTCTAAGCAGAGAATCACACCTATAGAAATACGTTTCAATAAATAAGAACTGAGGTGGAGCCTCTGAAGTTCTCCCACATATAAAATACATTAGTTTTAAATTGTGTACTTTGAGGCCCACATTTTAGCCACAGAGAGGCCCTATTTGTTCCTTGTGACCCTTGCTTGTTTCCAGCAATTTAGTCTGTCTGGCTACTGACCTGCAGACACACATAACAATGCCACTGGATATTATCACGGTGTGCAAACAATACCAGTAATTAATTAGAAACATTTAAAACATAAGATACAGGAGAAAGTCTAATCAGATAAACTGCTTTTTTCAGAACAAAAGCCCATATAATAATCTGATTATGCACTGGAGACATAGCTCTGATTGCATTAAAATTTCACAATTACATTAAACACATCCCGATACTGCATACATGTTGTATATTATGCAAAACTCTATGCTATGCTATGTGCTATGATCACATAAAAAAGGTGAATAATTAATGTAGCTTTCTAAACGTAAATTTTGTACCTTAGATGGGATTCCAATATCCTATCCATTCGTTTGTAGAAGGGTCTGGATGTAAAGTAGCCGCTCCAGTAATGATCGTCTCGGTCAGCATAAGTGAAAAAATCTCCACTTAGAACAGGGAACATGGATTGGCTATTCTTTCTAATGGTTACATCTTCTTTATCCAGTGCATCAAAATAATCTGATAAAGTCCCAAACTGTATCTAATAAAAAAAAAAGTGACACTTATTCATCTCTACCTTAAAATTACTTCTAGCACTAAAAGGAAAAGTTAACAGTAAATATTTAAGATGCGCTTTCCAGTTAAGATGAAATTCTAGCTCAGATTTTACAAAACTCAAAAGCAGGGGGAAAATATACAGTAGCTCTTTCACTTGCATCAGGTCCCAAATTAAACTAAAATAAAACTCACACCCCTAAGGGGTTAGAAGAACTACTGAGATATACAAATCTGTGGATCTGAAAACACCTTACCAATCTCCAGAATTTCAAAGTGTGCAAGGGTCAGGGAATAGAATAATTCAGAGATGAATAAAAGATGGGAGGAAGCAGCAAAAATAAAACATTTACATACAGTTTGGTTAACCATTAAGTATTTTCATATGTCATATGCACATACACTCCCCTGGCCTCCCCATCCCCCTTGCTTGAGCTCTCATAAGGGAGACTTTAAGAACAGCAGGTCATTAAAAAAATGGACTTTCTCTACCAGCAGGTAACACCGAATAGAAGTAAAACACAAAGAGTGACAAGAACTGCAAGGTTGACTGCTCAAATGAAAAGGTCTTTTGACTAATGATTTAAATTACCAGAACATAAATCCATTTTTATGAGCCCAAGCTATTCCATAAATCAAAGGAAAAAAGAAGTATTATACCACACCATGTAAACAGATATTAAAAGGCAGTGTTTTTAGAGATAAACAGAGAATTTAACAGGGAATGTATTTCTTTGAATATTAAGATGCTATTTTTGTTGTTTCCTACCACACACAGATACACACACACACACAAACACACAGATACTAAAAGCTACTTTGATTCAATGTGGCAGAAAAATAATTAAGAGCAGTTAAAAACAGGGGTGCCTGGGTGGCTCAGTCATTAAGCACCTGCCTTTGGCTCAGGTCATGGTCCCAGGGTCCTGGGATCAAGCCCCACATCGGGCTCCCTGCTCTGCAGGAAGCCTGCTTCTCCCTCTCCCACTCCCCCTTCTTGTGTTCTCTCTCTAGCTGTGTCTCTGTCAAATAAATAAAATCTTAAGAAAAAAAAAAAAGAGTAGTTAAAAACAGTGAGTAGCACTCTAGAAGAGTGGTTAAGAACAGCACAGAACCTGGATCCAGATGGCATTGGTTTGAATTCCATCTCTACCATTTACCTAACAATGTGGTTTCGAGCATATTTATATATTGTCTCTGTGTCTGTGTTACAGCTAATAGGGTTCTAAGTAAAATGCTTAGAAACACAACTGGGAAATAATGGTCTAAGTTTTAGCTATCATTTTTCTATTGCAAAGGCAAAATTTCAGCTGGAAACATGATGATATTAGTAAGACAAATAGAAGTTATCATGTACCTGTGACACAATAAATTTTATAACAGCAAAATAGATAATTATTTCTAAATCCTTATGTTTACATCACAGAAAAGCAATTTTCAACAATATTACCTAGTCTCATCTTGGCTTCACCAAATACAATGTATCTTGGGCAAGTTAATATATTTGTGCCTCAGTTTCCTCATCTCTAATGGGGATAATTATAGTACCTACCAGAAAATGTTCAGAGAATTAAATAAGTTAACTAAAGTGAAGCACTTTAAAAAGTTAATAGCAGGGGTGCCTGGATGGCCCAGTTGGTTAAGCACCTGACTCTTGGTTCCAGCTCAGGTCATGATCTCGGGGTCATAAGATCGAGCCCCACATTGGGCTCTGTGCTGGGCATGGAGCCTGCTTAAGATTCTCTCTCTCCCTTCCCCCATCCCCACGCCCCCGCACCCCCAAAGTGCATGCTCTCTCTCTAAAAGAAAACGTTAATAGCAAATAGTAAGTACTCAAAAATTAAGTGTTATTTATTACTCACTTAACACATTGTAAGAAGCAGAATATAAGTGTGTGTGTGTATAACCATGAGGGTCACAAATGCAAAGAAATACAGCATTAACTTCAGGCCCAATAGTACAGACAAGCTCAGGGAAGTATACTGATAAAAGTAAAAAATATTCAACAATCTAAATTTCTGACTCACTTTCTCATCTATATAAAAAGGGATTTCTATTAGATAACAAAAATTCCCTTCAGTTTCAGTTTTAGGGAACTGTGGCATGCTACAGAGTTAATATTAACAACAAAGTATACCCTTTTAGAATATTGTAACTAATTTTTGGTATTAGCCAAGATGAAAGTATTTCCTTCTTGGCAATTGCCCCAGGCAAAGTTCATTTAAGTAGCCTGGTGAGCATTCTCACAAATTTAATTCAATCTCAAAGGACTGATATATAATCCTGTATCTATCCTAGAGTAGTTTCAAAAGAAATTATTTAAGAGTGAATTTTTCTATAGTTTCTTGGTAGCTCAAAGTACGTATTCCAAATAACCAAAAAAAAAGTAGATGTTTTTTACTTCAAAAGGCAACAAATTATATCTTTAACATAACCTTAATCTTAAACATAATCAAACTCCTCTATCAGAGCAACATATGAGAAAAATACATAAATTGTTAAATAAGTGATGACCAATGGGAAACTGACTGGCTTGGTTGGTACAATGTCAATTTTTTAGCCATCTAAATTCAATTGCTTACTTGGGTTTTTCCTTTCCTTAAAAGAAAATAATAAACTGAAGCTTCTGGCTTGGACAAAATAACTTCAAACATCCTACAGAGAACAGATACTAGATAAACCACAGAGAGAAAAAAAGCTTTTGTTTGAAGGTATCTAAGGACAATCAAAGCAGCCAACACTTGAGTGACAAAAATTCCAGAAAGAAAGGAAATGCATGAAGGTTACTGGGTACAAGGTTAGAATGCAAAAGTCAACTGTATTTTTATACATGGAATATACCACATTCATGGATGGCCTAATATTTGTAAAGAAGTTAACGGTACTCAAATTGATCTATAGGTTCAATGCAATGCCAATCAAAATTCCAACTTTTTTTGGTAGAAATTTAAAAATTGATCTTAAACCTATACAGAACTATAAAGAAAACCGATGCAATCTTGAGAAAGAAAACAAAATTAGAAGACTTATGCTATCAGAAATTAAGATCCATTCTAAAACTATAGTAATTAAGACAGTCCGAGACTAAATAGACAAAATTGAATAGAGTCTATACAAGAGCCACACAAATAGTTTCACTCAAAATTAATGAAAAAGATGATGCTGCAGTAAAGTGGGCACACTGGTCTTTTCAATAAATGGTGGTAGATACCCATATGGGCAAAAATGCACCTTGATCCCTGTCTTCATACAATTCACAAAAAAATCAATTCCAAACAGATTACAGACCTAAATATTGAAGGTAAAACAATAAAGCTTCTGGAGGACAGCTTCATAGGAAGCGTATTTTCATAATTATGGGGTATAAACAAAAATTTCTTAAGCAGAACATGACATGGAAAGGAAAATACTGTTATATTAGATTTAATTAAAACAAAGAATTTCTGTTTATCAAAAGACAGCATTAAGAAAGAAATTAAAAAACAGGCTCACATAGTGGGAGACAATATTTGCATAACTTTTATCTGAAGGAAGACTCAAACCAAAATATATAAAAGAGTTATAAATGGTACAAAATAAACAGACAACCCAATTTAAGGAAAAGTCATCAAAAGATTTAAATAGTCACTTCACAAAAGAGGATACCTAAATGGCAATAAACTTATGAAAAGAGGTTCAATTCATTAACTACCAGGGAAATATAAAATAAAACCATCATATCGATCATAAAAAAATAAAAATGAAAAAAAAATCCTAACAGAAAATCTGAGTAAGGAAGTACAGCAACTGAAATTGTCATACAATGCAACGACTAGTGCATCTATTTTGGGATACCATTTGGCAATATCTACTGAAGTTGAGCATGTGCATACCCAGTGACCAAAAATTTCTATCCCATTTTATACCCACATAAATTCACATACATGTATATAAAAACATGCACAAAATATTCAAAATGGCTTTATTTGTAATACACAAAAACTGGAAACAACCCAAATGCCCATCAATAATACAATGGACAAATTGTGATGTATTTATCAAATGGATATTAAAGATAATATACAGTATTAAAATTGAATATACTGTGGGGCGCCTGGATGGCTCAGTTGGTTAAGAAATCCAACTCTTGATTTTGGTTCAGGTCATGATCTCAGGGTCATGAGAATGAGCTTCACATTGGGCTCCGCACTCAGTACAGAGTCTGCTTGAGAGTCTCTCTCTCCCCTCCCCCTGCCCCCCCCCCGCTCATTCAAATCATTGCCAAATCTTACAAAAGTAACCTTATTTTCCCTTCTATCATCATGGTTAGTGTTTTTTCTTTTGAAATGATACAAGAAGGAAATCTTAAGTATGTGACCCTGACACTATGACCTGAACCAAAATCAAGAGTTGGATGTTTTTTAAAGTGACTTTACAAATTGCCCTACTGGGCAAAGAAGGAAATAGGTAAAATACAAAAATCAGTACTTTAATTCTTTAGAATGAGTGGTAGATCTTTTTATGGATCTCAAAACCATTCACTAGGAAGATGTACTTAGGGATAAAATACCCATCTGCATATGCCATCCCCTAAGTAAATGTTTGTGTATCAGCTTCATCTTTGAGGAGATTATAGAGATGATTTAAACATAGACCTAAAGTTCATAATTTGGTAGAAATTCAGTTGTAAGTATCTTGAATACACCTGGCATTTTATTTAAGTTTATTTAACTATTTAATATTATTTACATTTACTTAATAAACTTGAATTCTCCCTACATAAAATGTGACCTATCATCAGCTTTCTAATTTCCTAAACAGTAACATCTCTTCCTTTCTGTAGTATTTCCACAAATATTCTACTGTCTCATAGGTTAGTATGTGAATATAATAAACACATTGGGTAATTTTCTCATATAGGGTCTAATATAGGACTCTTGTTTGAATCCTGACTCATGAAACATATGCTTAAAAAAAAATGCCTGTATGTGATCAGGAAAATCTGAATCTATCTGGATATATGATAATATTGAATTATTGTTAATTTTTTAGATATAATAGTGGCATTATGATTGTATTTTTAAACAGAGTCCTTATCATTTAGATACATAATGAAATGGTTACAGATGAAACTACATGACTACTATTTCCTCCAAAATAATCCCTGGGAGAGGGTGAGAGAGGACAGTGAGGCACAGCTGAAGTGAGAGTGACCTCGAGTTGATCAGTGTGGTAGCTGAGCTATGGATATGGGGAGGCAGGGGTCAGGGGAAGTGTACTTAAGTTGTTCTCAAAACTTTAGGGTACATTCAAAATTTTCCAAAAGGGGAAAAAAAAAAGAGAAAGAACTACAGGTAAATGATTAATTTTGGAAGTCTTCTCAACTAAGAAAGATGCTAGTGTATTCTCTGGACACAAGACATTAATTTGCAAAATTCATGACACGTTCATCTGCATTGCCCGTCACATTACTAAAATCACAAGGATGCAGCCGTCAGAGAAAGAAACTTTTGATGCTGGTAGAAAAACAGGACATCACTGAAAACTGAAGATCACAACTTAGTAGGTGCATATTTACAACTACATAAAAGTAAAGTCTCTTTAATGCTGTAGGAATGGGGGGAAAGGGACAACTTCAGAAATGCAACTATAGTACTAGATAATTTTCTTCTTTAAGAACTACACTCTTACATACAAACTACATATTCTAGGAAATATTGGGATGTGGGACAAAGAAACTAAGGCTGTTGTGTTTTAGCCTCATTTAATAATGAAGGCTCAACTTCAAATACAGTATCATAATTAAATATTTTCAAATTACCTTAACATTATACTCAGGATGAGAATTCATATAATCAAAAAGCAGCTGATAATTCTTATACTGATGATCCCATTCTATGAGTTCACAGTAGCGAAAATCATCTCCTAGTGGGGCCAGGACAACTGTAGTACGGAAGAGCTTTGACTTCTTTCGGTACTGATCTAGAAGCATCTCAGCCCTACAAAAGAAAAAGGAAAATAAGAACAGTACTAAGAAAACTACAATGGGGCAACTCATTAAAAAGTGTATTATGTTAAAAGAAATTGTTGTATACTTTACCTGTATTCTAGGTTAGTATGATTTATAAGGCAGATTTTTTAAAACTACTATACTAATTTTCATTATCCACTTAAAATATTCATAAATTTTGGGGTGCCTGGGTGGCGCAGTTGATTGAGCATCCAGGCTTTTGGTTTTGGCTCAGTCATGGTCTCTAAGTCATGAAATCAAGCCCCGCATTAGGTCCTGTGCTCAGTGCAGAGTCTGCTTGGGATTCTTTCTCGCTCTCCTTCTGCCCCTCCCCTCTGCTCTTTCTCTCTAAAATGGATAAATAAATCTTTTAAAAAATATATTCATAAATTCTTACCAGAGAGAAAAACCCACAGGTTTCCAATGGATTATCCTTAGAGAAATAAAGTCACATACCAACTTTGACATAAAATTACTGGGAACATCAATGGCCTCCTGAAGCCCGGCCATAGACACTGGATCCCAGATTGCCTGTATTTTAAAATAATTTAGTCCAAGAAGACAATAAGGATTTCTTATCTATATAAACTTTGAAGTTGGCTTTGACTCAAGATGCCTTTCTCTAATTTGATCTAAACTTGCCTGATTACACATAAAAAAATTAATAGTTTGAATGAAACCAATTATAGAACCTGAGTTCCTCTTCAAACGGAAGAAAAACAACTCACTTAACACCTGCCATCAATAAACTGGATATCTGTCAGTGTCCTTCTCAGGGCTGATCAACAGATAAAGTTTTGGAGATCAAATAGCTTTTTTGATTTCTACCTTCCTCAGATCTAACCCATGAGTCCAAAGGTCAGCTAAATACTAAATGTGCTGATGTGTTTTTATATTTCATATTATTCTAGTATTCTGCAGAAAACCTTTGGGGTTGAACTGCTGAATGCTGAACCGGGGTACCATTTGAGGAAGTCTAGGAATACAAAGTATTTAAGAGGAATGGCTTATAAAAATGAAATTAAATAAGCGGATGAAGAACTCAGAGTAGTTCTCTATGTTTGTAATGCCAAGCTTAAGAAATCAGTGATAAATGACTAATGTGCTTTTTACCCAGTATTCCAATTTTCATTTCTAGGGTTATCGAGAAGTTCCAATTCACAATATAAAAACTTACGAAAGAAACTCAAAGACCATCAATAATGGAACGAAGTATTTTATAGAATTAAAAACATTTAACTAAATTTAGAAATTCACGTGATCTTTTTATACTGATAGTCTCTGAAACTGCTTTGCAAATATTAAATTATTAGCAGAATTCAATAACTTGGTGAGTAAAATATAACCATAATGTTCTTACATAACATAGTTTTCTGAGATTAGCGTTCAGTAGAGTACTTAATTTTTACTAATAATTTACTAATATTCCACACTTAACCAAAAATAACCTTGGATTATTAGTTATAATTAAAAAAATACATGTCTAATGAGATTAATCAAATAGAAAGAAAAATAAGAGAAAAAAACCAAACATATAAATCAGATATGAGAAAGATACACTATGACTGAGCATCCAATCAGATTCCCCTAGGCAACCAGCATAGAAAAGGATAAGTGATCATTTAAATGAATGCCAAGGTTTACTACTAGATATACCATATCTTGTGTGTATATGCATATGACACATAAGAGGAAAGAATCACAAACATTAAGTGTGAGTCTTCCATTCAGCATCTGTCCTAACTCCCAAGCTCCTGCTCAGAAGGTGTCAACACGGAATTCAAGAGACCAATCTACACTACCTGGTAGAGAGTGGATATTCACTAAATACATTGTACACTAATGCCAAATGAAATGACCGATATCACACTTGAAGATGTACAGCAGCAATCTGCTCTTCACTCCTACCAGGTTAGAAATGTCAACTTAACTAGAACCAAGAAAAAAAAAATTTCCTAGAACATCCTGTATCATTTGACACATAAATCACCATCATATGTAAAATACGTTGTATGAGAACAAAAACTCAACGTGATAAAGAATGGTACCTCTTTATTTGCGAAGTAGAGGAACCTGCTGAACTAAACAGTACCAATTTTATCACCTGTAAAGTGTAGTTAAATTTCATTTTCTTTAGGGTATTAAAAATCACGTGCCACTAAGCTGGAATGCCCGTGTTTGCTCTCCATTAATCACAAAGTAAAAAGGACGGTGATATCTGGATGTGAAGTAACCAGTAAAGATTTCAAGAATTATGAGAAGTTTTTTAAAAAATCTACAGAAGTATTAAATAGACTCTTTCATCTCTATGCCCCCAGGTGCCTGGAAATCACTTGCAGATTCACTGGAACTGACTGAGCACAAGGTATGTTCCTGGGGGGCAATCTTTGTAGTGTCAGATGGGACACAGCAAAAGGATTACACAAAATAGCTTCCCCCCTCCAATAATGCACTTTAAACAGGTACTCTCAGCAACACCCAAGAAAAGAAAAAGAGGAGCCTCACAAGGTCTTTGGTGCACTGGGAGTCCCCAATTAAAGCATCTGGTTACCTTCAAAGAAATTCCCTATCTCTGACCCCCTGAGCTACAGAAGAGCGTATGCTGCCTAGCTCTATACCTTTTGCCACATAATACACTGGATTATTCTCCTCCGCCTAACTAACCTAAGCCCAGAAAGCACGCTATTCACTCTTCCTCACTGATCTTCACTGCTGTAGGAACCAATAAAATGAAACCAGGTTGATCCCTAATCTTGGGACAGTTTTTCAAAATAACTATAAAAATCAGATTTTGCTGGAAGCGATCTATGTTAAAGGCTGCCATGTTAAAATACTTTTGTGTGTGCCAGAGTGAGGGACCCTCAATGAAATATTTTATGGCCACAAGGACTGACTCAAGGCAGAGACTCAATCTCACCTTCTCCTTCCAGTTTTTAAAGAAGCAATTTTTAAAATAAATAGACTTGATAGTGCACAGTGCAAAGATCTTACTTCATTTAAAAGGCTTTATCATTGTGCTTCAAAACCACCTGGGGGCATGGTTATGTTGGCACCCTATTCTCATTTTGTTGGGCTGGAGATTTTTTGAAAGCTCCCTGGGTAATTTGGGCAGCCATGCTTGGTAACTACCGACCTGCCTCATCCTTGCCCATTTAACCCTCCTGTGGAACGCAGGATGCCTGGCTTCTTCTTAGCAATTCACACGAGCGTGGAGTTCCCAAAAACCATCAAACTTACAAATGGCAAAAAAAATTGCACATAATTATTGTTATACAATTAGTGTACACAATATGATGAGTTTAAAAATATTCCTACACTCGTGTTGCCATCATGTTATTGAAAATTTTTTAAGGATAACATGTACAAGAACCTAGGCAGAGTAGGTTTTCAGAAACCAGAAATTCCAGGGTCTTAAAAACAGTTAATGAATGTTGTGGTTTGCAGAATTTATGGCTGTCATCCTACTTTAACTGTTTATAGCTACCCCCCTCACTCTCAAAAATCTCCTCATGTGTTTAATAAATAACATGATCGATCTAAAAAATAAAATAAAAGCCTGTATCATTTTTCTGCCAGAGGTGAGTGGTTTATATTGCAACACAATGTTTTATTTAAAGGCATTATACACCAGTAATTTTTAAGTGAAGAAATTAAACTTTAAAAGCAAACAAATGACAAGTATAGGTAATGAGATGCTTCCGTCATGAGCATAATTTTCTTCCTAAAAAAAATGATTCATCCCTTTTTTATTTAAGTAATTATCTTTAAGTATAAATATTCCTAATTAAAAATTGTCTGTAAGTCAAAAATATCAGAATGATCGAAAGAGTGTATTCATCAGAGCTGGGCAGCATCCACTACTATTGAAATTGTATTAAAAGAACAGATAATTATACTCTTTATGTGTTCCATTTCAATAAACCTGTTTTTGCAGTTGGGTTGCTTTTCTTACCAATGTATACAATAGAGACCAGAAGTTTTATTATCAACTAAAGTATGTGAGATCAATCAAAAGCAGCAGAAGGCTTTTATAATGAGGGCAAAGGAGAGGGTAATAACAGACTGTTATAGGTTCTCCATTGTATATTGATCAACTGTTGTTCATTTTCCATTAAGTTATAACACATAAAAGGCACAGTCAAAGCTCTGCATTTTTAAGTTGCTTTAGATCTGGTTGAATAAGTACCTTGAGCATGGATAATGTTGGCTACTGAACCCTTTAGCAAAGAGCAGCAGAGTTGTTGCTTTGCTCAAGATGCTGTCTTAATGAAATGCATATTTTCATACCTCTTTTGGACATTTCCAAGATGTATTGTTTCTGGGGGGACTCCCCAGGGACAACCAAATCTGCCTCCGGGAAGCCGTTTAAAATCAAACTGGCAGCATATTTTAGGATCAGGTCCACACGTACGAGGGATGTCATAGCTGTAGAAAGGCATCATGTGGCAAAAAATATCTGTGCCAGATCCCAGATCTAAAATAAAGAGCCAACAGACAAACCTGGATTTATAAATTGTGTTTTCCCAAAACTGTTCAAAATGCCAGTACTTTCTACATATATAATGCAAGCTCCACCCTAAATCTACAACCTACTTAACTACTACTCATACATAAACTCCAGTGGCATTTAAAGACCACCAGCCTGAAGGAAGAGACTCACATCTCAGTCTCTCTCTACCTCCTCTATCTAAACTGAGCAGAGACCCATCACGGACCAGCGTGTGCTGGCCTGGAAAGATACAAACGAACAGAAGCAAAAGTTATCCCTGGCTCATCCAAAAATATGGGCTGTGTCCATCCCTGGCTGCCAGCTCCTTGCCACATCTGTCCCCACATCAGTAACGGGACACACTGGGGAAGACCATGACACTAGCCGCAGAGGAAAGGAGAGAAGGAGAGAGGAAGAGAATAAAAGGAGGAAAGGAAGAAGTCGGGAGGCTTGTGAGAATGCTGGGCAAATTCCTATCTATTTCTCACTGTGAGGAGAAGAAAGGGCAACCGGAAGAGTTCACAGAGTCTCCCCGTTGTTCACCAATGAAGAGCCACCGGGACTTTTCACCAAGAAAGCAGCACAGGACAAGGGGAAGTACTTCTTAAAACCAAAACAAACAAACAAACAAACAAACCCAAGAATAAAAACGAAGCAAACAAAAAATATACTGAAAGGGAGCACTGGTTCCTGACGCAGAACTGTCTTTAATTAAATCCCAAATGCCAGCAAGTGTTGTTATCACTGCCCTTGAGAGGTCAGAAGCCTACCACCCAGTGATGGAGGACTTGAGCAAGGGTTAAAAATGGTTACCTTTTAGGCTCCTGACCTGTAAATACCTCTCCCTCTTTATTTATAAAGTGTGGATTTCTACTTTTCAGCAATGGGTTATGTGCTGCTTTTATGACAAAGACAGACACAACAACGAAAACAAAAAAGCAACCCGCACGTTTTAAAAAATGAAAATACCTCCTTCATTAAGAACCAGAACACACAAAGAAGCTCAAATGAGTTCCAAAGCATAATTTTGAAGCAACATGTTCAAATCTATCTGGTAAGTGCTAACATATTCCAGTTCTATCTCGTGCTCCATTTAGTTAATTACCAGCTCTTTTCCAAAATTTAAAGCTTTTATAATTTGTATATTTTTGTGCTGTCAGTTGCTTCACTGAATCACACTCGAGTGTGACATCACGGATCTGGTCACTAATGCTTGCTAACTGCACAGAGGCCCTCGGTGACAACTCCTCTTCCCTTCTCCGGTAGATCAAAGACACTCAACAGCCCCACCCCTTCGCCTCAGCCATACTATTTAGCAGCTCATTTACACGTTTCAGTTTATCTGCTGCTGTTGGTCTTGTCTTTCATCAAATTAAGACTATAATTTCCTGATAGGCAAGGAAGTTTTCTGTATTTCTTCCAAGCATGGTATTAAGTACATAAAAGTACTCAGTACTTTCTTGCTGATTGGTATTTATGGGCAATTTGAATGTAGGCAATACTGTTAAGTAGGGCCTCTTCAAATTAACAATCCCTTTTTTTTAATTAATATGCTCTTTGCATTTGATCAAACTATACAGGATATAACCCCCTACAAGTTCTCGTTTTCCCTACAGGTTTTAATTTCCAGAATAAAAAATTATATAGTTAATTTCTTTCCTTATTGAAAAAACAGCAGTACGTATCAGGAAGTTACTGTCTAGATTTACAAACGATTTTTTGAAAACACTTAAGGGGGGATCTAACTTACACAGGAAAACAAGTATGATGCAATGCAGTAATTTCTGAACATTGTTTTAGCAACGAAACCCTTTTTGTGGATGAAATCTTACTGAAAGCCCAGTACCGGGAAAGCAGTGAATGGCAGGGGCTTAAAAGCCTGGTCTTCTGAACTACACAAAGCTGGATTCAGATCTCGCCTCTGTACCTACTACCTGTACGACTTTGGCAAAAGGCTTCACAGCTCTAAGCATCCATTTCTTCACCATTTAAAAGGGATAATGAGAGAAGAGAAGATAAAGGATAAAGATCTAGTGAGAGAGCAGATATAAAGCATACAGTACAATGCATGGCCCAGAATAAAGAACTCAATAAAGAAAAAGAAATAATAAGGTATTCTGAATTAAATGGGGGTTGGGAAAGGCAAAAACCTCTCAAGAAGCCTAAATCTTGTCTCCTTCCCACCCCTCAGCAAAGAGCTGTAGAAGTATGACCTTGGGAACACCTGTGCACCCACAGAATACAGCGTGAAAACAAGCAGGACAGGTAATAGGAGGGCTGTTCAGGAGGACAGGATTAATGGTTTAAAAGGCAATTCTTACTAGATGCAGAGACAGGAAAGACAGAAGGAGGAAACACAGGCTGAATGTGAAATAAAAGACTGGATATAAGTTCTCACACATGTTCAACTTTGTGATAAAACAAGTCCTTTTCAAAACAGAAGCATGTAAAAGCATTATTTGCAAAAGACTAATTCCTTACATTTATTTACTTCCTTTAGGCATAAAAAAGAATCCACGGTGTTCTATAGATAAATATCCTCACCACTGCTTAAGAGAATCTTAATACCAATACACTGGGAAAAAAATCGTAAGAACGTATATCTTGAAGCAACCTAATTTTCAAGACTGACACTCTGAATAAAGCCCGTAACAGGAGGAGTTCATAACCCTTATGAAATAACATCTAGGTCAAGTGAGATCTTCCACTTTCATCACACCCTACGTACCCCAATTCTGTCTCCAAAAAAATTCCAGCGTTTTATGCAATGCAAAATGTTTTTTAACTGCATAATGAACTCTCTGAATAAGCATGTGAGAAAATCCGGCGCGTTTGAGGAGATAAGCCATTGTTGGTGAATGTCCAAAAGGATCAATAGACCAACCGGACCGAGGTTTCACTCCTGTCGATAAAGAAAATAAGTGTTATTTTTTTAACTGATAATGAAACGAAAAGAAGTCACAATCCATTCAGAGCCATCAGAGTTCTATGGTATTCTGGGTCTGAGGACAAGGCATCTGCCCAGCATTCCCCTTGAGCATACGTTCCCAGCAGGGCTCCCAGACGGGAGGATGCTGCCCCTGCCATGTCTTCTTCCCAGGCAGAGGAATCGCACTAGAGGTTAATCAACCGGCACTGAAATCAGCACTCTGCCATCTCATAGACACTAGAAATCTCCTGCCATTTAGTGGAGCTAGAGAAACAAACAGGACCTAGCCCCCATCCTTCTAAGACCTCACAGTCTTGTTTTCCTTTGAGGTGGATAACCCAGCAACTTGCTATGTAATAAGGAAAAGTAAGCTAACTTATTTCAACCTGGACTCCTCAATCCCAATGTTAAGGAATTTTCAGGCTGTCTGTCATACCTCACAATAGCTTCAAATCATCTTTTTATACAGTAGCAGAAGTGACCAAAATAACTGCACCGTATTTCGTTAAATCTTAGTGAAATATAATAAAATTGTAATATAATATAATGCTGGTACTTTCTCTCTACCCAGAAAGGATTAATGGAATTTTCCACAACTGACTAACAGCAACTGTTAAGAGCCATTGACTAAAGATATAGCTCAATTTCACATAGGGTACAATGTGAAAAAAAACATAATAAATGTAAAGACTGGAATTAGTGAAAGAAGACTAGTCATCTGGCATTATACAAATCTGATCTTTTATTTATTCAGGATACTCAAAAGCAAACTTGTACATGCAACCTATAGAAATCTATAGACGTAGTATTACTATGCGCATTTTTTTCAAACACCTGGTTAGCACTTCCATATACCTAGACTATGAGAGGTTCTAGGATTACAAAAATGAGTTTATCTTGGTCCTGACTGCACAGAATATCATGCAAATAGGTGTAACACAGAGTATCAGAATATGGAGGGGAGGGAAGAACTCTGTGGAACAATCTTGAAGATGAACACAGAGCTGGGAAGCCAGCAAAGGAGACTGAGGAGAAAAAGTCAGAACTCTCAGAGGACCAAGAATATGTGTCAAAACTCAAAGAACTGACCACATATTTTTGCTTTTCACATATGTAATTCACCTCTAAAAACTGTAAAGAAACCTTTTTTAAAAATATTTTATTTATTTGAGAGAGAGAGAGAGGGAGAGATCACAAGCAGGGGGGAGGGGTAAAGGGTGAAGCAAGACTCCCTGCTGAGCAGGGAGCCTGATGCAGAACTTGAACACAGGACCCTGGGCCAAAGGCAGATGCTTAACTGACTGAGCCACCCAATTTAGCTCATATTTCTGTGCTGTCAGTTGTTTCACTTAATCACACTCAATTTAGTATTTTTGGTTTTTTGTGGTGGTATGGTTTAACAATTCTGGAACTATTTTTCATGTATTCTAAGGTTGAGCAAATTAAGACCAGGGAGCCAGGGTTCACACTGTTAAGGAACTACCAAATATGTAAATGTGGGAGAGCAGAATGTACTTTAGAACCCTGACTTGAAATAGGAGGTATCAGCACTAACTTACAGTTTTGTAACACACACCCACACCCACACCCATTTTCTAGCTCTGCCCCAGGAGGGCCTAGATACAGTAACACCTCAGGACCAATGAGCACACCTTAGCTTCTAGATGATGACTTCTAAACACTATGCTCTATTAAAAATAACCTTAAAGAAATGGCTCATCCCAGGACGGTGGCTGGGAAAATACAAAATAAGCCTGGAACATATACTTACAGCATAAAGTAAAGAAATGGTCAAAGAATCATCGGAACATATTAAAATAACTCAGGAGATAGCCTGTAGGGGCTTCCACTATCCAAATGTGTGACAATTGGGGCATCAAAATAAACAATGATAGTACTGGGTTATAACCCATTGAATAAAATAAGAAGCCACGAGATCCATGAGCCCTAAATAAAAAGAAAATAAAAAAAGAAATAGGAAATAAAGGAAAACAAAAAGGAAAGGTATATTCCTTTCAGTAGAATGCCAACTAATAATTATAGAAGGAATGACAGAATTAGAAAACCATCAATGGATCCTAAAAGTACAACAGGCAAGTTTGATGAGGAACAGGATATTTAGCTAATCTCAATGTGTCCCCCACAAATAAGTTATTAATTAAAGAAGAAAGATGTAACAGTACAGCAAAGAAACTTAAGAGACCCAAATTAAGCAACTGACCAAGGCTAGCAGCACCAGTATTAGAACAGGGAGACATCATGTGCCTCCTGACAGGATGCACTGAGGCCAACAGAACATCACTGCAGTGATATTCGAGCAAAAGAAGGAGATTGGTTTAGGGGCACCTGGGTGGCTCAGTCCTTAAGCGACTGCCTTCAGCTCAGGTCATGATCCCAGGATCCTGGGATCGAGTCCCACATCAGGCTCCCTGCTCAGCGGGGAGCCTGCTTCTCCCTCTCCCTGCCACTCCCCCTGCTTGTGCTCTCTATCTCTCTGACAAATAAATAAAATCTTTAAAAAGAAAAAAAAGTAGATTGGTTTAGGTTAGGAAGGAGGGAAGAAGGGAGGGAAGGAAGGAAAGCGGGAAGGAGGGAAAGAAGGAGGGAGGGAAGGAAGGAAAAACAACCTGAAGCTAATCGTGAGGAAATGGACATACTCAAATAAAAGGACTTCCTACAACAAAGTCCTTCACTCCTCAAAAATATCAAGGTCAAGAAATTTTTTAAAAAGGCTGAGGAGCTAGCTGTTCCAGATTAAAGGAGACTGAAGAGATGTGATAACTAAATGCAACACATGAGCATGGTTGGATCCTGGACTTAAAGGGAAAAAAAAAAAAGCACCTTTTATTAAAAAAAAAAAAAATGCTATTGAGAATTTGAATATAGCCTATGAATTTGATTACAGTATTATATCACTGCTAACATTCTGGATTTGATAACTTTCTTCTGGTTATATAAGAAAATGTCCTTTTTTTTAAATTTAACTTTTTTTAATTTTGTTATGTTAATCACCATACATTATATCATCAGTTTTTGATGTAGTGTTCCATCATTCATTGTTTGCATATAACACCCAGTGCTCCATTCAATACGTGCCCTCTTTAATACCCATCACCAGGCTAACCCATCCCCCCACCCCCTCCCCTCTAGAACCCTCAGTTTGTTTCTCAGAGTCCATAGTCTCTCCTGGTTCGTCTCCCCCTCCATTTCCCCCCCTTCATTTTTCCCTTCCTGCTATCTTCTTTTATTTTGACATATAATGTATTATTTGTTTCAGAGGTACAGGTCTGTGATTCAACAGTCTTACACAATTCACAGCACTCACCATAGCACATACCCTCCCCAAAGTCTATCACCCAGCCACCCCATCCCTCCCACCCCCTACCACTCCAGCAACCCTCAGTTTGTTTCCTGAGATTAAGAAGAAAATGTCCTTATTTTCTTAGAAAACACACAATGAAGTATTGGAAGATAAAGAAAGAAGATGCCTCCAACTTACTGTCAAATAGTTCAGAAAAACATGCATTATGAATCTAAGTACAGGACATATGAAAGAGCCCTTCCCAGCTGTCATGCAGCTTTTTATAAGTTTGAAATTATATCAAAATTAAGTTATAAAATAATAAAGGATTGCAATGTCCCAAATAACAAGGGCGGAATTAGCTTACAAGTGAGAGTAAAAATCACCATCAAATTCTACAGTGATGTCAGATTTTAGCAACGTTAGGGATGTTTTCCCTATCAAACTCACATGATCCACAGGAGCAGCAACCTAGCTGCAGTGGACTTAAGAGTCCCTGGGAGGTGATGATACAGAAAAGGAAGAATGTAAACCATATTTTTTAAAACTCTGACATGAAAGGAGGTGAGAGCTAGGCAGAGACCTAGAAAGGACCCCAGTATCCCACTAGGGTTTTCCTTGGTATGGTAAGTACTGTTTTAAAAGGGGTAAGGGGCAAATTTAGGTAAAAGCGCAGCATAAAAAAGCGCCAAAGTTTTATAAAGGGTATGTTTGCCAATGATACCAGGAAAGATCATGAAAAAGATTTTGTGCCATCAAGCAAGATTACCAAATACATAATAAAGTAAAAATTGTTAGGAAAAATGACAAGAAATGGTCATTAAAAAGAATAAAATACACCCCTCAATTTTTGACAAACCTAACAGACTTAAAAATTAGAATAGAAGTAATATGAATAATATAATTAGTCACTGGATTATTCCAAGTACATTTAATATTAAAGCTTAAGAAAAGTCAGGGAACAGATAGAAAAACAGGTATTTTGGGCAAAAGACAATGTTGGTAACTCAAACTTCAAAAAGTTTATGATATTTTGGGCAAAAGATAATCTTAATAACTCAAACTTCAAAAGGTTTATAATGATCATATTTGCATAACAGAGGTCACAAAAGCAGAAATTAACAAAAAACAGAACAATTTAAAAAGCATTCCATGACCAAATATAAAGTATCCAAAACAACATGCTGTTGTTCTAAATTGCTTAAAAAACAAAACAGAACATGAATTTACAAAATGCAGCCAAAGCTACAAAAAGATATTCCATTTCTCAAATGTGTCCATTATCTAAATGTAAGAGCTAAAAACCATAAAGTTCCTAGGTAAAAACCACAAAGTAAATCCTATGACCTTAGGTGAGACAATGGTTTCTTAGCTGTGACATCAAAACACAAGTGACAAAAGAAAAACTAAAATGGACTTCATCAAAATCAAAGCTTTTCTGCATCAGAGGACACCTTCATGAAACTGAAAAACAACCCACAGAATGGAAAAAAGTATTGGCAAATCATTGTCTGACAAGAAACTAGCGTCAAGAATATACAAAGAACTCTTACAAGTCAACAATAAAAAGACAAAGAACCCAAATGTAAAAATAGCCAAATAATTTGAACAGACATTTCTCCAAAGAAGATATATAAATAGCCAATACACACATGAAAAAACGTTTAACATCATTAGTCTTTAGGGAAATGCAAGTCAAAGCCACAATGAGGGACCATTTCATACACACTAGCATGGCTAAAATAAAAAAGACAATAACAAATGTTGCACATGTAGAGGAATTAGAAATCTCATACATTGCTGGGGGGGAATGTAAAATGGTGCAGCCATTATGGAAAACAATTAGGCAGCTCCTCAAAATGCTAAACACAGAGCTACCATATGACCCAGCAATTCCATTCCTAGGTATAAACTCAGAAGAAATGAAAACATATGTCCTCACGAAAACTTACGCTAGTGTGGGGTAGGGGGATGGGGTAATTGGACAGTGGTCATTAAGGAGGGCACTTGATGTAATGAGAACTGGGTGTTATATGCAAGTGATGAATCACTAAATTCTACCCCTGAAACTAATAATACACTATATGTTAACTAATTGAATTTAAATTAAAAAAATATATTTGCTGGGGAAAAAAAACAAAAAACAAACAAACAAACAAAACCTTACACAAGTGTGTATAGCAGCATTATTCACAGTAGCCAAAAAGGGGAACACTCTAAATGTCTAGCAACTGAAAAAAGGAGAAACAACTGTGGTCTTTCCAAACAAAATAGTATTATTCAGCTATAAAAAGGAATGAAGCACTGATACATGCTACAACATGAATGAACTTGAAAACATCGTGCCAAGTAAAAGAAGCCAGTTACAAAGGCCATATTGTATGATTCGGTGTATGTAAAATGTCCAGAAGAGGCAAATCCATCCACACAAAAAGCAGGTGAGAGGGCTCCTGGGTGATTAGTCGGTTAAGCGTCCAACTCTTATTTAGGCTCAGGTCATGATTTTAGGGTCCTGAGATTGAGCCCCATGTCAGGCTCTGTACTCAGTGGGGAGTCTTACTTGGATTCTCTCTCTCTCTCTGCCCTTCCTCTGCCCCCCCCCCCACACTCTCTCCTGTCTCTAAAATACATGAATACATCTTAAAAAAAAAAAAAAAAGTAGATTTGTGGTGGTATGGGCCTGGGGCAGGGAAGGGTGGAGTCAAGAAAGGAGTGTGACTATTAATGGGTAAGAGATTTCTTTTGGGGATGTTGAAAATGTTCTAATAGAGGGTGGCAACGGTTGCACAACTCTGTGAACAGACTAAAAACTACTGAGTTGTATACTTTAGGTGGATAAATTTTATGATATTGGAGACAACACAATTTTAAGAAGAAAATTTATGCTGAGCAAAAACTGATGGATCCAAAGGAGTCAGTCCATATATACGAAGTTCTGAAACAGGCAAAAATAATCTACAGTGATAGAAATCAGAGAGCAGTTGGCTGCAGGAGAGTTGAGGAGGATGAGGGAACTTTCGGGGGTGATGAAAAAGTGGCTTAACTGGGTATATATATTTGCCAAAACTTGAACTCTATAGTTAAGATTTGCATGTTGCACTGCATAGAACTTATATGTCAATAAAAGCTAAACATAAAGAAAAAAATCCCCAAACTGAAGTTTATAAAAGAAATATTCCTGGTTTAGAACATAATTATTTAAGAAAAGTGGCACTGTGTAGGGGGTCCCTAAGTCTGCTAGGGGTCCCCCATTTAGTGAGCTGTTAAGAAAATGTACAGGACTCGGCATATGGTCATACTCACAGCTATGACTTATTACAGTGAAAGGACACAATGCAAAATCCACAAAGGGAAAAGGCACAGGGGGCACAGTGTCCACGGGAAACCAAGCACAAGCTTCTAACAGTCCTTTCCCTATGGAGTCACAAAGGATGGGTTCAATCCCTCCATGTTGTGACAACTGAAACAACTGTGACAAAAGTGAAATGCTATCAAACAAGGAAGCTCCTGAAGAGACTCAGTGTTCAGGGTATTTGTTGGGGGCTGGTCATGGAGGCATCCTCAGCCTAGCAGTACATATTAAGATTCTGGACTTCCAGAAGGAAAAGAACTCAATACATGATCACAGTAGCATCTGTGATTAGCATAAACTACATTGTTTTTACACAGTTTAAACACAGTGAAACAATTCCACAGTATCTGTGTGGTAAGGATAGATGTTTTTTATTGGACTTCCTTCTTGGCATTTCTATTTTTTTCCTATTTAAAATTTTTTTCTGTGTTAGAGATAAAATCCTTGCCATCCCCATTCATTCTTTCTTTATATTTTGGAATAATTCAAACTTAAAAGAAAAGGTTTAAGAAAAATATGAAGAACTCCCATAAACTCCTCCACCAGATTTACCAATTATTAACATATTTGCTTTACTTTTTCTTTTGCCATATCATTGGTGTGATTGTTGTTGTTATTAGAATAAGCTGCAGATATCACACCTGTACACAAAAAAGAGATAACACAGGAGGTCTGAAAGTGCTATCTTTAGAAAGGTCTTGCTTGGAAGGTTTGCCCTTGGCTGGTGTCTGGGGACCTGGATTTCCTAAATGCTACAAAATTGTACTCAGATATGAAATATTTGAAAAGAATTACATACCACATTGCAGGATGCAAATACTAGGTACTGCAAAGATTTAAATGAGTCCCATGTTCTTACCAGTTGTAGTGAACACCTGGTTTTATCAGGGCAGTGTCCTCTTCCCCATGTCTTGTGGTAACAAGATCCCTCTTTCCCATGGAGGACCTATTCACATGGTTCCAGTAGAGCGGACCATGCCTTCCACAAACCCCTCTCCCGCATGACCATTTCCAATAAACTGACTAGGGCTTGATGATTTCAGCCCCTACACCTCTGGCCACAGAAACTGGCTCAGAGTTATGCACTTAATCCAAAGTGAGACAATTAGGTAAGACATTAAGAAAAACTTCTACTGATTAGACTGGGAAGATGAGAATCCTAGTTGCCTATGGCCCTCTTACTCACCATGTGAAGAGAACCAGGAGAAGACTAAGGCCATGCAAAAATAAGCAGAGCCAAGTGGAGCCTGGGTGGCTCAGTCGACTGAACATCCGATTCTTGATTTCAGCTGAGGTTATGATCTCAGGGTTGTGAGATCAAGCCCCGAGTAGGGCTCCATGCTGGGCATGGGGACTGCTTCAGATTCTCTCTTTCCCTTTCCCTCTGCCCCTCCCCCACCCTCTATCTCTCTCATAAATAAATAAATAAGCAAGCAAGCAAGCAAAGACAAAAGAGATAGTGTCCAAACAATATAATCCAACTTTACCTGAACCTACCGTACCTCTTGAATTCTCAATGACAAAACTAATACCTTCCTTTTGTTCTTCTTTTTCTTTGGCAAGTAAATTAGGTTTTTGCCTCTTCTAACCAACAGTCTTAACTAATATAAAATTAAAATCCCAATGGGATACTGTTAGAAGAAAATTATTCTAAAAATTAATAAAAACAGTACACAAAATAATAGATTACAAAGTAGATGACACTAAAAGTGACCACATTATATTTATGCAACTTAGCTTATGATGGAGGAAACATCATAAATTAATGAAGGATAAAAAAAATACTGGGAAAATCAGTTATTTAAAAAAATAAAATAGAGCCTCATCTCATGTTCCCCAAAATTAATTGCCCAAAGTAGTCCAAATGAAGGAAAAAGACGTCAATACATACCTAGATTTTTTTCCAGCCACTGATGTCCTTCAATTAGTTGGTCAATTAAGGCAAAATAATGTGGAGCAGCTTCATCAGGCATAACCCAGCCACCTGTCACAATTTCAAACTGACCATTCTGTAGCAAACTAGAGAGAAAATAAATATAGGAGTTTACAATAACATATACAAGAAAAGTTCAAATAAAAGATTTAAAATAGCGTAAACATCAGGGACAGCCCTTAAGCAAGTATAACCATTACTTACATGAGTTACTAAAAAAGTTTTTTAAACCAGGGAATAAATTTCAACTTTGGGGCCCTGGTGATAAAACATCCTTAGTGAAGCGTGTGTATGTGACCCTTCCTTCCTAGGCAAAGCCTCTGCAGGTCACTTTGGAAGTTCCTTTTCATAAGGTTATAATCTCCCAGACAACTTCAAAGATCCTGATGTCAGGAGACACATCTGATTTATTTCTGAATCTTACAAAGCACCTAGCAAGGTGCTTTACTTGCAGTATGTCCTGAATGTTTACTGGAGGGCTGTCGTTTTAAGCATGATATTTGTTTCAATATACCTATATTGAATATCAATATTCATTTTAGTCCTTCTGACAATGGTAAGTTAATCATGCAAACTACACAAAAGTAATAATAATAAAGGTAAAGCCAGTAAATAACATATGCCTCTGGGAATACAGAAAACATCCTAAAGCACTTTGCTCCAGATTCAGTTAAAATGTGTCTATATAGTTTATTTTACATTACTGAGTGAAAAGCTCTAACATTATCATTATCTGTCCATTGGGTACTCCTTTGCCATAATGCCATACAAGGTAACTAGATTCCCCACCCCTGGAACAACTGAATTGTTACAAGAAGATCCCTTCCTCCAAAAAAAAAACAAAATCGCAGACTATTAAAAATTTGAAGAAGTACCTGAGGAAGTATAGAGGTCAAGAATTTAAGCAAACACCTTAAATGCCATAGACTTGTCAGTCTGCAGTAAGATGGCTTGAGAAATTGTGTAGAATTCCAGAAAGAAAAGCAGCTTTAATAAGGATACACATCACCGGATACCTACCCTGAACAGCCGAGTACCAAGCCAAATTTTGTTAAAGCAGCCCAGAGGCATAGAAGATAAACGTTTTCCTACAAAGCCTATAACAGAATCCACTACATTAACACAACATCTGATTTATTCAAACATGTGCATAACCATACAACCAGTGAGAGAGTGGATAATGGACACAAATTTTAAAAATGAATGAATAATTCCTTGTATAAAATTTTTAAATGTTAATTTAATCCTGTATTGCCATGGGAATCACCAACTAACATAATTTCACATGGACACTATGATGGCTCATTATAGTGCCTAAAAAAACCCAAATGTCCAGTCAAACCTTAGATTCTCAGAGGCCCAAATCAAGAACTTAACAATATACAAACTGGGAATCTCCAAAAACAAAACAAAACAAAACAAAACAAAAAAACCCATATTTCTTTAAGAACACAACTAAATCCAAGGCTATTTTATCCTATTCTTACTGTCAAACTGCTTCCAGTCAGTTCTCTTTCTTATCTTTCTGGTGATTGCCAGATTTAGCCACACTCTGGAGGCCTTGGCCCAGACCCAGCTCTTAAGTCTTATGACCAGTACGTGGAAGCCTGAGACGTCAGGACAGATCTGGGATTTAAACTCTGGCCATCAATATAGAAACGTGGCTCCTTATCTCAGCACTCCAGTAAAGAGATCTTTTGGAAAATTTCAGAAATAAATTGGTCAAAACAAAGTCTTTGCTGCTTCTGAACAGTTAATAGAAATTACATATTAAGAAGTCTAAAAATTAAAATTAAAAAAAAAAAACACTCCAATGATGGAATTTCTCATCTCAGTTTTATTTTGCTACATGATCCCTATCCCCAGGCATGAATGGACTCCAAGAAACAGCTAAGTGAGCAAAGAATCATACCTACTATATACATTAACTAATTTCCCCAGGTCCATTTGTAAACAATCTATCCCTTCCTCCTCCCCATGATGCCCCAGATGTCTGTGATCAGTATTGAGTTCTTATTCGAATGCAATGCTTATCTTAAAGACTGACTTGTCAATTTTGGGAAGGCATGAAAAGCCTCCCATGCATTAAAATGTTTTCCACGATCTTTTTTACCTACTTATTTTCTTCTCTCCTATTTTTCCCAAACTGATTGGTCCCAGGTGTCCTCATGTCTCAGCCCAAATAAAACCTGCCCAGAGAAATCTCCCTGAGCACCCAACCTAAATCAGTTCTCCCACCATACTACCACACTCTCACACGACAGCATTTATCACCAACCAGAATTACCTTGTTCCGTTTCCATGTATGTCTCCTCCCTCTCCCTCCTCAACCCCACCCACCATGAGAGCAGAATGTAAGCTCCCAGAGAGCAGGGACTAGCACCTGCTGTTTTTGTGTGTGTGTGTGTGTGTGTGTTTTTAAAGATTTTATTTATTTATTTGAGAGAGAGAGAATGAGAGAGAGCACATGAGAGGGGGGAGGGTCAGAGGGAGAAGCAGACTCCCTGCCGAGCAGGGAGCCTGATGTGGGACTCGATCCAGGGACTCCAGGATCATGACCTGAGCCGAAGGCAGTCGCTTAACCAACTGAGCCACCCAGGCGCCCTAGCACCTGCTGTTTTGCTCACTTATCCACACCCAGCACTGAGAAGTGTGTGTGGCATGTAAGGGGCACTCTGACAGTTGTGAGATAAATGATGAATGACTGAACGAGACTCTCGGCTCAAAGTCAGTATTGACAGAAAGTTTTAGATTAGATGAAGCTCACAGACATATGCAAAATAAACTGGACAGAAAGGGGCCAGGTGGAAAGGGGTCTGAACAATCTGGGTGTGAGGTGGTACGACCCAGAATATGAAAGTGGTGGGGCCCCCGGGTGGCTCAGTCAGATGAGTGTCCGTCTTCGGCTCAGGTCATGACCTCAGGGTCCTGGGATCAAGCACCGTGTCGGGCTCCCTGCTCATAGGGGAGTCTGCTTCTCCCTCTGCCCCTCTCCCATTGCTCCTGCTTGCTTGCTTGCTCTCTCTCTCTCAGAGAAATAAATAAAATCTTTTTAAAAAATATGAAAGTGGTAGGAAATATGGAAGAGGAAGGAGAGAAAGGAGGTGTCTCATGAAAAATCATCCATGGGAATTGGGCAACGACTGGCAATAGAACAAAGGACGGAAGCACGTATGTCTTGGGTGTTAATTCCTGGTGTCTAACGGCACCGTAGTGTGACACACACAGTGGAGGTGAGAAGGGAGGTCACTTTGGGATCATAAATATAAATTTGGATAAGGCTGTCCGATAGGATGGTGAGACACCCCAAAGGAGCTAACCGAAGATGAAAAGTTCAAGAAAAGAGGCTGATAGAAAAATTAAGCTTGGAGGGACTAAAACAAAGAGGAAACAGAGAAGCTAGGAGGTGAGGAGAAAACAATCAAAAGGAGAGTCAAGGACCAAGCAGAAGGAAAATATAAAAGGAAATAGAGGCAATAAGAAATGTGAAAGATAAAAAGAATAAATCTGTGCAAACAGCCTGAAACATTCTAGAAAGCAGTAATGAGGTGCAACCTACGCTCCCACTTGGTAAAAGGCATTTTTACAGTTAAAAAGCTACCATGTAATTGCGACTTACTCAGAAAAGGACACATTGGTGGGCCAGAATATAAAGCTGAGAAATAAATTTTTTAAATATTTATATGATTAAAATAGCAAATTACATTACTGGAAAAGAATGGGATATAGTTTTATTTATAAAAGCTTCACTCAGAGGGATTTAAAACAAACTTGTAAGAAAGCCAAGTTATTATGTCATATAAGCCAAAAGACTGATACTTTGAAAGAGCATGCTCATATAGGTTTTTAAGAAAAACTATATGAATAGGTCACAACAGGCATGAATGTCACAGTCGCAGGCCAGAAAGGACACAGGTTTTAGCTTTTCGTAGGATAGTGTCTCTAACCAAGCAGAAGAAAAACCAAACGGAAAAAAAAAACAACAACAAAAAAACATGATATGAAGTACGAAGCAATATAACAATGACTAGACACCTGGCCAAACAATCAGGTTGGTGAGTACTCCTATTCCACTGAACTGCCTGGTTTTCCTAGTCTATACATAAGAATGGTGAAAACCAGATGATAAACTGGAAGACTCCTAGAGGCAGGAAGGTGTGGTCTTATATTAAATATTCACTGTGTTAGGCAAAAACACTCCCCAAAACCAAAACCAAACCAAACCAGAAACCCACACACAGCAGTTGCAGAAGAGAGAAGGGCACAAAATTCCCATGTATATGCCTGTATTCTAGAATATATGCAGTTAAGTATCTCATGAATGACAGAAAAACAAAAAAGGTCCAAAGAAACACGAGGAAAACATTAACCTGATGATTGAGAAACACAGCAATGATCTTCATCATTTAGTAACAAGTACAAAAAGTAGAACTGCCAGTCTACAGAAACACCACCTCAGGAAAGACTTAGAAAAATATTTATAAGCAATAATAGAAAGGCTATGGTAGCCTACAAAAAGGTGGCTTTTTTATTTATATATATATTATTTATATATAATATATAAAATAAATATATATTAAATATATATTATATATTAAGTATATATTATTTATATATTTATAAATTGCCACTGTTAGCAACATGATGAAAATAAAATTAAGACAGACCGCAACTGTATATTTGAGACTTTGATTTTTTTTTTTTTTTAAATCAAGCAATGGGAAGTACCTACAGCTACAGAAAAAGTCACTTAGAATACAGGTGCTTCCAATGTCCATGGACTTAGTGCTCAACAAGCAAAACTGAGCTATTTCTCTGGCCCAGAGGAATACAAAATCGAAAAAGACATGCCCACTCCATCGGATCTATTCATCGTTTCTGCCAAGAGACTGGCTTCTGGCAAAATTTTTGCATGTACACTTTTCCTCGTATTTCCTAATAAACATGAGATCTAGAAACAAAAGTGAAAAGACAGGGAAAGGGAGGGAAAGAGAAGAATATAGACATACAGAAAATAGGAAACCAGGCATTAACTTCAACATTAACAACACTCCTGTTTCACTTTTTCAAATGGCTGACTTGTAAC